TGAAGGCCATTAAGGCGGGACAATGGTATAGGTCCATTCTAGGAGTGATATAGACAGCTCGGAGTTGAGAGAAGATATAGACCCTTTCTTTGTATGCATTCGCCGCTCGTGATACCTATCTGGACTCAGATCTCAAGGCGATCGAGATTCTAGCAAGATTTTAAAAGTTATCTCTATGTTTTTGCTTTCGCATTTCAAGGCGTTGTTTTATAGCGAATTGAAGTTTCAATTCCGCAGTTGAATCGCCGTCAAATTCAACAAATAACACTGTGATACCACGACGTAAAACAAATATTCTTTTTCACCCTCTCCTCTCTGCCATAACCCTCCTATACTCCTCTACAATGCTCTGCCTCTCTTCCGCCAACTCCTCCCGGGCCCGTAAACTCCCGGCCGCTGACGGAACATTGACCACATTGACTTTCGCACCACCCATGCCCCTCACCTTGAACTTCTCCTTCGGTTTCGTCAGCTGTGCAGGAGGCGCCTGCACAAACTCAAGTGGGTTGGCAGGTTGCATAGACTTCGCTTTGCGATTAAGCTTCGCCCACGGATCATCCTCGTCATCATCACCATCATCATCGTTATTATTGTTGGCAACATCGTCAGCATCGCTTCCACCACCACCGCCCAACACGTCACCTCTTCCACTCTTCTTTCTCTTCTTTCTCTTCTTCTTATTCTTCTTGGCAGTGGTGCCCTTCTTTTTCTTCGTCAACCCCGCTTCGGCCTCCCACGCCTTCCACTGCTCATTGATCTCTTCCTCCTCCGCCTCATTTTCTTCGCGTTCAGCCTCTTCCCGCTCTCTAATCCGCGCCTCTTCTTCCCTCCATTCCCGCTGTAGCCGTAGAAGCCGCCGTTCATGTTTGGTCTGTCTGTGTTCTCTCAAATTCTTCAACGCGGGATCCTTGCTTACACTTGACGAGCCCGATTTTCTCGAGATGCCCGAGAACGGGAGGGCCCGGTTGACTCGCGCGGAGAAATCGGATAAGCGTTCGCCGGGGAGGATTTTTGGGATAGCAGTAGACGTCTGTGGCGGAGCAGGAGGCTGCGATGATGTTGCTATAGAGTGTTGTCCGGGTTCCGAGTTGGATTTTTTACTATTACCGGTTCCCTTCGATGCCATCCCCCCTCCATTGGCAATAATTGTGGCCCCCTCCCGTTCTCCTCGTTGCCGCTTTTTGTTGGGCTTTGTCCCGTCATCTTTAAGACCGGATTGTGAACGTGTAGTTGTTCCAGACGTAGATTTTTGGAACTGGTGCATCATGCGGAGAAAAGCCTTGGGGGTATCATCTTCGAAGGCGTTTTGGGCCGGCTTTTTCAGCCGGCGCTTTTTGTTGGCGGATTCCTTGAAGTCTGCATTACTCTCTTTTGCTGGAAGGGGCCTTGCGACCTTCGTCGGAGGAAGGTCAAAGTAGGCGCTGTGGGTAACAATCGGAATTGAGGGTTAGAAAGGAAACT